CTGTAATAAATACAAAGCGCCCCTCAAAATACAAGGCACCCCTTACGCAGTACACTTAAGGCTTCTTATAGAAGGAGTCTTAAGTGCACATTCACACTGCATTTTTGATCTCAAAGGTGCTTTAATCAAAAATTTAATAAGAAGCAGCACTTAATGCAAATTCTGCAATAATGCGAGCATTTCTGCAAATATGCAGGTAACGTTGCACTTAATGTTGCAGTTAATGAATATTAAGACCATAGTGTTAAGTATATATTAGAGCGATGCGATTCACAGCTTCTTCGTAGCGTATAAAGTAATGCTTTTTGGGATGATATAGGATTTCAAATTTAAAGAAAATAAACAGATTTTGAGCAAATGAATCAAATATTTTTTTATTTTATTTTAAAGTTATGCCATTATACTTAGATAAATAATTTGGTTGTTTTAATAAGATTTTAACTAAATCTCTGGTCAAAATATTCTTACTTGACACATCATATTGGTTCAACCAAACCACATGTTGGTTTTCATATCTTCTTTATCACATGAGCTAAAATTTTTCTAATAAAATAAGCAGGTCATTTTAATTAGTTATTGGTTAGAGCATATTTTTCTAAGTATAACGACGAAAAATGGTTTTTGTCCAGAGTTCAAATTTTCAGAAGATTTTTCGAACATTAAAAATTGAATTTTGAAGCTGAATTTATTGTTGACTTGCTCGTAAAGCTCAATAACTTCACTTATTGTTAACTTCAGTTATTGATCCTTAACTATATTATTAATAATTCGCACGATCTAGACGAACAAAGCTACAGCTCTATTTCTGAAAATAATATAATTATGAAAGAATTGTTTTAAAAAAACTCATTGATTTCTCATATCGTAAATACCAAAAGGCATCCATCTGCATATGGAAAAATAAATTGTAGAAGAAACGGCACTGAGCGCCACTGATGATGATACACCGATTTTGTTTATTTTTATATAATTAATGACCAATCAACCTAACAGTTCATATATATCACCAAACAGTACTTTTTTCAGGATAAACCGGTTCTTAACGAATTAAGTTAAGTTAATTAGTCCTTTTTAGTTCAAGTAAGAAAATTTTCTTTATAAAGCAACTGCAACAGAAAGAGCATCATTGCTTTGGAACTCTATAAATTTTTTAATCAGTATTTATTTATAATTTGTATATGCTGATTAATAAAAAGATTATTATAAAAATCGGCGATGGTTCATGGAACTCTACAACTTTTAAGATGTATTCTGCTATCTGTGAAAAAATTTTTTCTGGTGAAGACCATTTATAAACTTAACATTATCGTTTCATTTAGAAATATATTGTACTATCGTTGTAGGAAGTTTTATAGATAAAAATGACGACTATTGATAAACCCACCATTATCATATGATTTAGTACTCTAAATTTCATTTGGTTAAATGAGATAGAAATTAAGATTATAGACCAATATCAGAACAATCGAAAGATATGAATGATGATATATTAAATTTCACAATATCTGCAAGATATATATCAAGATATAGAATATCTTTTACAATTTCGTTTTTAAAATATTGTAGTTCACAAAAATTTTTTTATTAAAAACCAATGATTAATTTGAGGTCATATCTACTAAAACAAAAAAATCACACACTATATTATAATACAGTGTACTACTATCTACTTTATTGCGCTCATATCACTATGATATTTAACGCATTCTTCTTAGAATAGTTTAATGAAATTTAACATAAATTAATTTAAGTTTTTAATTTTGCAAGATATATACGTATTATATAACGCTAAAATATATTTGTTAAGCTTGTACGTGGTCACTAGGTCTATGGCACATTCTGCGGTTTAATTTTAATTAATATACAAGAACATTAATTATCAAATTCATTTGCTGCAGGTGGTCATATAATACATTAAACTAAAATTTGAATACATAAAAATATTCAAATGCCTCTTTTATTTAACTAGAATATTATATCGGGAGTTATACCATGCAGATCTGGCATGGCGTCTTTGTAAGAAAGTATTGTGAAGTCATCAAGAATGTGGACGAGAGTATACTTTGGACAACTTTTTAGACTCTATTTTGTCATTTTATGCTAGAATTCTTTGAAATCCAGGATTCAGTTTAAAAATTTTAATAAAAAAAAACTAAATTAAAGTTGTTATTCTACAAGAATTTAAAAGCAAAATGTTCATCAAAGTGTTTCAATTTAATATTGAATAAATTGAAATTTTAAGTAATGTTAACACTTATCTTAATATTCTTTTTTATATTATTAATGCTCCAACCAGTTCAAATATTAGTGACATTACCGTAACAACTCACAGATGAGAAATAAAAGTTAAACGTTATCTTATGTTATTTACAGCAATTTCAACCAAATCTTGAGGTGATAAATTTGCAAGAATATTTACTATCTTTATTGTTCATAAACTTTTAAAAAATTGTGCAATTATAAATATATAATGATGTTAGTAAAGTTATACATACGCACACATATAACTTTTTAATTTAAAAAACATGACCATGAAAATTTTAATAAAAATAGAAATTTAACCCTTGAATGGAAAAAACTGCGTTTAAAATGTTTGCACAATGTTTTTAATTTTTAATATTCTGTATTTTCCTGTCCCTTAACAGAGCTGCAGCAACCTTAAAATAACAGAATCTCTATAGAAAAGTCAAGCAGTATTCGTTGTTTAAACAATTGTTTAAAGTAGTCCGCTAAATGTGTACGAACACTGTTGAAGACTGTTCATCATAGCAGCATTCTGTCTGCATACATCACGTAACTTTGGTGCAACTTTATTTACATTATTACTAATTAATACAGTAAAGTTACTAACCGAGTGTATTTTGCTAAAACACTCCGAGCCGTGGCAGTGAAGTTGCACTATGTACACATAACCGCACATATAAATACGGACCGGAAGCTCCTATTAGACATTTGCACATATGCATTTCACTTTCAAAATATGGCAGTGAATTTTGCTTCCCTTTCGCATTTTATACATAAATCTAGAAACCATATATGGTTATATATATATAGTCGTATGTTTATGTAAGTATGTTAGTGTATAAATTATTTGGTGGCTTCATTAAATTGATAACTTCACATTATGTGTGGTCATAAAGTTCACATTTATGTATGCCAGCTAACGTAAATTGTTACT